GCCTGCCTCTGCCACACCCAAGATGGCACCCAAGTCCTCTCTCCAGCCCTCCCGCCTCTGCCACATCCAAGATGGCGCGACTCTTCTCCCTAGCCTGCCTGCTTCTCTTTCCTAGGAGCCAGGGAGGAGGTTCACGTACTCACAGAACTACCTGTCCGCCATTGTGGAGCCTCAGGACTCGCAGGAAGAGAAGAAGAAAGCCCGGGAGAAATCCCGCCAGGCCTGGCTCACAGTCACTGGGTTCCAAGTGACAGGTCTCCATGGTGACATCCTCCATCAGGATTTCCCACTGCCAGCCATCGGAGAGTTCCATGAGGTTTGTGAGAGGAGCAGGGCTGTAGGTGGGCCTCCAGAGGGGCCTCCTTCCTCTGAACCTCCTTGTCTCCCCAACTCAGGAGTGGCAGGAACACCAGGTGCTCGATCGCCTGCTGTACCCCATGTTGGATCGGGGCCGGTGGAGCTGGGACCGGCGCCACCTGGACTTTGAGCTGTACAAGAAGCCACCGCCTTTCCTGGAGGTGCCCCCTCCTCCAACCCGGAAGCCCGTTGCAGATAACTGGGGAGACCGTGCCCAGCTGGTAGGCAGGTGGTGGTGGGGGGGGGACCCTGGCCCTTGATCGCATCTTGAGCACCATCTGTTTGGTTCCAGGTGTCCACCTCGAGTTCCCAGGCTAGGCCTCCTGGTACAGAAGGGTCTCGGGCTGTCCCAAGGGCTGGAACTCAGCTGTGGATTCCAGCCCCAGGTGTGACACCAAATGTGACGTGAGGTAAAGCCCCACTGCTTTCCAGTGTCCTCCCAGTTCCAAGATGCTGCTGGACCTCCCTCTGTGGGGAAGAGAGGGAAGGAGCACGGGACTCGCCCCACCAGTCCCCCCAAGTCCTTCATCTCGTTTCTGGATTTTTTTTTGGGGGGGATGTGTGCCAGGGATTGAACTCAGAGGCCCTCCACCATGGAGCCCCATCCCCAGCCCTACTTTGTGTTTTATTTAGAGACAGGGTCTCGCTGAGTTGTTCAGGGCCTCACTTTTGCTGAGGCTGGCCTCCACCTTGCGATCCTCCTGCCTCAGCCTCCAGAGCCACTGGGATGACAGGCCTGCGCTCCCCATGCCTGGCCTCCCTGTTTCGGAAGAGTGGCCTCATCATCATTGAAAGGCACCACTGAAAACACAGAACCCAAATTTGTTGGCTGGCAGAGACAGAAGTTTGTTTGAGGAGGGACAGAGGAGTTTATCGAGCCACAAGTTGGCCAGAAAAACTTCCTCCGGGGAGCTAGCTCGGCAAGCCCGAAACACAAGAGCTCTGAGCAGGTCCCAGTGACCCGGCAGGAAGGCCACTGTCTCCTGGTGCCTGGACTTGGCTCCTTCCCTCCCAGGTAAGCCCTGGGCCTTCGGAGTTTGGAGGAGAGTCGGCCAGTGTAGGAACATGAGGCCTGTCCACGTGGCTCCATGGGCAGCCTTCCCAAAAGTAAAAAAGGCGACTGAGAAATGGAGGCTGGAGTGGCCTCTCCCCCGCTGCATCAAGTTCAAGAAACATCAGAACCTGTGAAGTGAGAAGGGGGACCTAGACTGTGGCTACGCCTCTGAAGCCCCACGGGGTGAGCAGAGAACTGGCGCCACCAACAGGAGCCCTCAGGGCCCAGCAGTGGGGGGATGTCTACGGCCCTTTCCAAGTTTCTCCTGTTCAAAGGAACTCTGTGCAGCCTCCTGTCCCTGGCACTGTGCACTCTCCGTTTTGTGCCCAAGGTCTCTTTGCCATCACTAAATACAAGCTGGGACAACAAAACTGAACAAGAAATTTAGGTTTCAGCAGGGCGCGGTGGGGCACGCCTGTCATCCCAGTGGCTTGGGAGGCTGAGGCAGGAGGATCGCAAGATGGAGGCCAGCCTCAGCAAAAGTGAGGCCCTGAACAACTCAGCGAGACCCTGTCTCTAGATAAAATATAAAAACAGCTAGGGACGGGGCTCAGGGATTAAGTGACCTTGAGTTTAATCCTTGGTACCAAAGTCACAAGACTTATTTAGTCACCCAAACCGGAAGATCGCCCCAGCCCCAGCTTGGCCCACGGAGCCCTGGGCGCTCTGCATTTCCACTCTTCTTGGGGACCACCCACCCTCACAGCACAGGGAGACTTGGAGCCCCAAGTCACCCAGGGGTGACAGGAGCTTAAAGGCCACCAGGTGAAGCACGGGACCCCGCGTGGCTTGCAGGCGCTACCAGATGGCGGCCGAGGGAAACGCAGAGGCCTGTTGAGGCCACCTACAGATGCCCCTCACCCTCTTCAGGGAGGGAGGCCGGTCCTTGCAAAGACACCGAGAAGCCCCGCGTGGGCATGAGGTCCTGCTGCGGCCACCAGAAGGACCCAAGAGAAGGGACACTTGTGGAGCCCTGAGGTCAGGGACCAGGCCCTGCCTGCCCTCTGGTGTTTGGGGCCCTCTTCTCATGGGGTGAGTGAGGACAAAGGGCTCAGAAGCCACTGCCAAAGGGTGGCTCTCAGGATCATGCTGGTGTCCCTTAAAGGCTGGCTCTGAAGAACGAGGTGACTCAAGGCCAGAGGGGACACCGACTGTGACATTTATATTCCTTTCTGCTGAACACTCCCCAGCATGTGCCTCCTACTTGGAGGTGACAAGGGCGCTGTTTCCCAGCTGTTGCTTGACCCTGTGGCTTGGTAGCAATGGCTGTCCGGGCCTCAGATGCCCGCGAGCTTCCTGCCACCAGCATGTCCCCAACCACCAGCACAATGGCGACACGGTGACGGCGATTCTCTTCCCTGTCTCTGCTCAGGAGCTGCGGTGTGGCCTCCTGCAGTTCTCCACCTTCTGAAAGGCGGGTCGTCTAGTGTCAGCTGAGGCCCGGGGGCAGGGACACTGTCCTAGCGTCAGGACGTCCTCTCCAGAGGGTGGGCGCAGATGTAGGTCCGCTTCTCGAGGATCTCCCTGGACACTTTCTTAATCTGCTCATCCAGGTTCTCTGGAGCATCTGGGAGGGAAGAGAGGGACGGGGTGACCCTTCTGCCCTGTGACGACACAAACAGGGCTTGGGGGGGGGGGGGGTTCTCAACCCCCCACTGTGCAGCTCAGGGGAGGGGGACAGATTTCGTGCTGAATTAAAAAGGGCTTGTCCCAGTCTTTTTTTGGCACTGGGAACTGAACCCAAGGGCCCTTGACCCCTGAGCCACCTCCGCAGCCCTATTTGTATTTTATTTAGAGACAGGGTCTCCCCGAGTTGCTTGGGGCCTTGCTTTGGCTGAGGCTGGCCTCCACCTTCTGATCCTCCTGCCTCAGCCTCCTGAGCTGCTGGGGTGACAGGTGTGGGCCACCGTGCTTGGCTTATCCTATTTAAAATGCCCAGACTGTAAGGGGCTAGGAGTGGGGAGAAGATCCTGATCAGGAAATGGCCAAATGGAGGAGAAACCGTTTCATCATCCAACTTCGGTCGCATGTGGCAGCCCTGGGGCGAGCCTGGCTGGCCCCCAGCACCAGGAACCACGAGATGTCACTGGCCAGTGTCCTTGCCATCGACAACACACCTGGGTTCGGCACTGACACTGATCCAAAGCCTGCAGCCAACAGGACCATGAGGGTTGGAGGAGACCCTGAGTAACACGTTCCACGCTGTGGCCCAGGGGGAGGGAGGTGGCCAAGCACCCAGGGCAGCAGGCACCGAGGGGCATCCGTGAGGGCGGAGGCCTGTATAAAGCTATGTCCTCGTGACCTCCTCTGGGCAGGTACCAGGACAGGGCTGGGCACTGGGGCAGGTGCGTCTCGGCCGGTCTCTAGATGGCAGGAGGCCACGGGCACAGACTAGGCCTGGAACCCGTCCTGTCCCCACTTACGCTTGTCCAGCTGCGACAGGCTGAAGAGGTTCTGGACGTAGGCCTCCGTGCAAAACATGTTGGCCAAGAGGATCTGTGGGGGCCGGGGTCAGAGAGGACGGCTGCTCAGGGTCCTGGAGCTGACCCAGCCCTTGGCCCACCTGGGCCCACAGGCCTGGCTCAAGAATTCCAGTTCCAGCCCTGACCCCTAGCCACTCTGTCCCCTAGCGTGGGCTCCTCAGCCTCTGAGACGTGCGCTCCCTCTCCCATGAGGTGGACGACCACCCCACTGACCATTCTGCGCGTGCCCTGGGCCAGCGCGCACGTGGCACGCAGGTGGACCGGTCACTTCGCCCCTTTCTTCTCTCAGGTAGGGGACCAAAGACGGCGCGTGGCCAGTTTCCTGGGCGGCAAGGACTGTCCTGTGGCCACAGTATGGCAAAGCTGCCCAGCCTCCCGAGTGGCACCCTGGTGCGCCTCAGAACCTCAGCCTCTTCCAGTGACCACCTGCACGCGCCATGGGCCCTGGCTCACCCGGCCCTCTTGTCCCAGAAGTCCCTTGGGGCTGCGTCCCCCGGGCCTGGGCTTCCCCAGCCACCGGCTCCATTAAAGTGCAGCAGGACCAACCAAAGGCCTGGCTCACAAGTCCCAGCCCTGCGTCTCCCTGCGGCTGCCACCTGCGTGTGATCTGTCCCCAGGACGAGCTGCTGGACTGTCCAGCTGGGCTCGCTGCATGGGGCCAGGGCGGGCTCACCTCGTGGTCGTGGTTCCGGAGTCCGATGCGGATGGAGCGGCTGGCCCGGGACAGCACGGCCACCATGCCGTACAGGTTGATGAGGACGTTGGCCACCCGCTTCAGCACCAGCTGCTCCTCCACGACCGTCTGCGGACGAGGCTCAGCGTGGAGACCAGCCACCTGGTCCCCTGGCCCTGCCCCCCCGACACACCTCTCTTTTTTTTGGTCCCAGGGATTGAACACAGGGACACTTGACCCCTGAGCCCCATCCCCAGCCCCTTTTCTATTTTATTGAGAGACAGGGTCTCGCTGAGTTGCTCAGGGCCTTGCTGTTGTTGAGGCTGGCCTCCACCTTGCGATCCTCCTGCCTCAGCCTCCTGAGCCGCTGGGATGACAGGCAGGGGCCACCCTCCCGGCCTGGTTTTCCCTTCTCTTTGTCCTGTGTGCACTAGGACAGGTGTAAGGCAAGCCCAGGTCCCAGGGCTCGGTGTGCTCAGGTCACCTTCAGGAGCACATGGGGTCACCCTGTGGACTCAGGCCAGGCAGATAGCCTGTCCCCTCCCCTCATTCCAGGGGGCCTGTCTCCATCTAGAAGGTGCCCTGAGAAAACACACCCAGCAGGCGTTCCCAGGTGCAGGCGAAGCCAGCTGACTGCCCCTGTTCAGAGTGGCCAAGGTGTCTGTCCCAGGCATAGTCCTAAAGGTGGCTGCTGGCCTCCTGGCTGCTGTGCCCCTGGCCGGCAGGGCCTGCTCACCTTTCCAAAGCGAAGCAGCAGGTTCTCCACGGTGCGGCCGAAGTAGTACACGTTCTCCTCGAGTTTGTTGGCACTCTCCTGTGGCCACAGGACAGGGCAAGGCTGGGAGCCCATTCCCCACCGGGCCCAGTCCTGTCCCATGTGACAGCACACAGCCCAGAGCTCCAGGGCCCACGGGGCACCAGCAGGAACCCACAGCCCTAGCACACCCTCCGCATGGGACCCTGTGGCTGGGCGTCCCCATGCGGGTCCACTTGCTGGGCCTACTCACCCCGAGGCTGGGGTGGACCACTCCAAGGTTGCCCGTCAGCCCCAGGTCCACGGTTCGGCCCAGAGAGTCCCGAATCCTCCGGCCAACGGTCTCCATGATGGTGGTCACGTTGCCCCGTTTAAGTTCACTGCAGGGAGTTCAAGGTCCCAGGACCTGAGCCCCGACACTGGCCCTTGCTGCCACCATCACAGCCCCCTGCGCACCCCAGGGCCCTGTCGCCCACCCCAGCAAGACATGCAGGGCTCCTGGGCCCAGGGCGACTCTGGGCCTGCAGAGGGCAGCTGGGCCCCTCATGGGGCCTGTGCCTGTGGCCATCTTCTCCAAGGAGGTCCCCCAGCGAAGGAGGCTGCCAAGTGCCATCTGCAGCCTGGACTCGGGCTTCACAGGGCTCTAAAGGCTGCCACCTGGGACCAGGGCAAGATGGGGCAGGAGAGGCGACAGCAGAGGAACTGGCCTCTTGCTGGCCTTGAGGACAGCCTCTCTCCTCAGTTTCTGAAATGCTGGCCACCCCTGGGGTGGTGACAGGGCTGCCTGTTGGAGGTGGATGGTGCTTGGGGACCGAGGGCTGTGTGACCCTAGGGCAGGCCTCTGTCCCCCAGCTGGAGGACCGGCCCCGGCCTGGCTTCCTCGGCCCCGCAAGGCTGTCCCAGGACCAGGCAGCCCTTCCCTCTGCTCTCTGCTGGCCAGGCAGGGCCCTAGAAGCCACCGTGGGAATGTCACCTACTGGATCCTCTCGGTCAGGATGCGGCCGGCGTGCTGCAGGCCCGTGAGGGCGATGAACATCCGGAGAATCTCGTTGGTCCCCTGTGGCCAGTGGGGTGGAGGTCACCAGCTGTGCCAGGAGGTGGCCCAGCAGGGCTCCGGGGTTGGCAGGCCAGGCAGCGCCCACTGCCCACAGCAGTGGCTTCCACCTCGGTGGCACCCCGAGCAGAGCTGGGACAGGAGGCGGGTGCACAGGGAGGTGCCCATGGCAGACAGTTGGCATGACCTCTCGAGGGGACCAGTGCCTCCCCTGGCCAGCCTCGCGGGGTCACCAGACTCCGTGACCAAAATACCCCAGCTCTCCTGGGTGCCGGGGGCGCAGGAAGAACTGGACACAAGGGACACAGTCCGCTGGCTCTGGGCTGAGGCCAGACTCCTCAAGGAGGCTGCCAATGGCTGGGTGCCACCTTTGTGCCCAGGTCCCTCCTGGCGGGCACAGCCCTGGCCTGGGGTCTTCTTGGCCCTGGGAGAATCCCTGGATCCTCCTGCCCGCGACCTTCGACGGCTCCAGACCTCGGTCATCATGTCCCCACTGTCCCTGACCCCTTCCCAAGGCCACCATCTGAGCCAGGCCATGGGGGGAGGTGTGGCTGGTGCTTCTAGAAAGATCTCCTTGCTCTCTCTCGCTCTCTCCACCACCCGGGCTCGCCCTGAAGGTCCTGGGTGGGGCGTGGCATGTTCTATTTCCCTGCTTCTTGGCCCAAACTGCCCCTCTCTAACCCTCATAAGGCCACCTTGTCCCCAAGGGCCAGGGGCACCTGCTTCACAGGACCCAACTCCTCGGGAGGACGCGTCTTCCACTGCACGGGGACCACGCACCCTCCTCGGGCATCCGGGGACACCAAAGTCGTCTCTGGCCTGGCCCTGGCCCGGTCTGGCGGTCACTAAGCTGACCCTAGAGCTGGGACCAGAGCCCAGGTCTCCACAAAGTGTCTGTCCCACACAGTGTGTTGGAGGGAACTTGGGGAAGACCCACAAAGAGGTCCCAAGGGACCCTGGGCTCAGGCCTGAGCCGGCTGCTCGGCCTCCCCCAGCCTCTACCCTGGGCCACGCGGGGGTAGGAGGTTCCAGGAGGCCACGGCCTGTCCTGGGCCCTGTGGCTGTGGCTGGGCCCTCAGTAGCACTTCCCAGGTCCAAGGAGGCAGCGAGGGGGGAGGGGGCGTAAGCAGGGCTCCCGGGGACATGGCTGGACGGCTCTCACCTCGAAGATGAGGAGGATGCGGGCGTCACGCAGCATGCGCTCGTAGGGGTAGTCCTTCATGTACCCCGAGCCCCCCAGGATCTGCAGCGCCTCGCTGACGCACTGCCAGGCGCTCTCAGAGCTGAACACCTGCCACAGACCAGGGTGACGTCAGCACAGGGGCTCTTGGGGCCAGCCTCAGCCACTTCGCGAGGCCCTAAGCCACTCAGGGAGACCCTGTCTCTAAATAAGATATAAAAAGGGCTGGGGACGGGGCTCAGTGGGTTCAATCCCCAGGACCCCCCGTCCACCCTAAAAAAGAGCTCAATTAATTCCAGAGACCAGGGCCTTGTACCTGCTGGGCCACCCGCCCAGCCTGCCCGCCATCCGCCATCTTGTTTATTATAGCTAAAAATGACTCTCTCCAAACAAAAGCATCGGGAAACTCTGGGATCTACCGTATGGAACATTCCAGAAAAACCATTCTGACACCACCAAGGAGCCCATGAGCTCAAAATAAAAGACGCCCTTCTCAGGAGAGCCCGGCTGCTGTTTTATGTACCCTGACTGATGACTGTGCTGGCTCCTGTGGGTACAGGCCACCAAGGGCCAGGCAGAGGTCAGCACCCTGGGACACTGTTTGCTGCAGCTCCAGCCGCACCCTAGGGCCGCCCTCCTTATCCCTGGAGAGCTTCCCACGGCCACAGCATCAGGGCTGGACCAAGGACGAGCTGACCTATAGACTACGGAGACAGAAAGTGGGGGCGACACTGTGGGGTACAGGGAAGGGGCCTCCCTCTCTCGTGCCAGCTCTGGGCCGTGACAGGGTTACCTTCACCATGGCTGCCTCCACGGAGCAGTCAGGCAGCTCGGGCTGGTCGAGCATGCCCGCCGTGAGGTAGGCCATGCTTTCCATGACGTAAGCCTTCTGAGCCATCAGGGCGAACTTCTCCTGGCAGGTTCAGAAAGACACAATCAGGAAGGGATCTGAGGGTGGGCCGGGGCGCAGGGTGCTGGCCTAGCATGTGCGAGGCCCTGGGTTCCATCCTCAGCACGAAAAAAAAAAAAGGTGTCATCTGAGCTAGGTGCAGTGGCGCGCACCTGTCATCCCAGTAGCTTGGGAGGCTGAGGCAGGAGGATCGCAAGGTGGAGGCCAGCCTCAGCCACTTAGCGAGGCCCTGAGCAACTCAGTGAGACCCTGTCTCTAAATAAAAAATAAAAAAAGCTGGGGACAGGGTTCCATGATGAAAAGGGTTCCATCCCTGGTTGAACCCACAAAGAAGGTGGCCAGGCCAGAGGCCCTGCTGCCCAGGAGAGCCACGCCCAGGCGCACTCATCAATGGGACTTCTGTCCAATGAGGCCTCACCCCGTCTTCTCTCCAAATCACCCACAAGACACTGCAGTATGGAGACAGCAACGGGACACGCTTTCTACACCCACCAGGTGAAACCACAGCCCCTGGTACCTGAATCAATCCAAATTCACTAAGACGCTTGTTGAACTGCTTCCGCGTACAGGCGTAGTCAGCGGTCAGTTCTGAGAAGAGGGGTGAAAAAGAAGCAGCGCATTCCTGAGTAGCCAAAAATGATTCCCAAAGGTCCCTGCTGTCACCTTCCAATACCCAGCAGGAACTAGCAGAGAAGTGTGGGCTGCCAGACGCCCTGGCCCATGCCTGTCACCCCAGCCGCTCAGGAGGCTGAGACAGGAGGATCGCAAAGTGGAGGCCACCCTCAGCCACTTAGTGAGGCCCTGTCTCGAGTCCCCTGATGCTCCAGGGGGAGGTGGAGGCCTGCCCAGGCCAGGGGGTCTCAAGGTGTCCACATAGGGACAGGCGCATGGGCCCAGGCAAGTCGCTGGCCAACAGAAGAGGAGGGGCACGGGGAACGCGGAGGCTCCTAGGCCAGAGTGGGGACAGCAGGGCCAGACAGTGCCACCAAGGGTCCCGGCCCTGACTTACCTACCAATCAGTTTCTTGAGCATCCCGGCCACCACGCTGCCCATGCTGAAGCGCCCGCTGTTGAGGATGTTCATGGCCACCTGGGGGGAGCAGGCAGTGAGGGAGGAGGGGACAGACCGCTTCCGCCTGTTTCCCAAAGAGGGTTCTTCTTTTTATGGGGGGGGCCCCTCGACCCCTGAGCCCCGTCCCCAGCCTGATTTTGTACTTTATTTAGAGACAGGGTCTCGCTGAGTTGCTCAGGGCCTCATTTTTGCTGAGGAGGCCAGGGCGGGGGCACACCAGCAGCTCAGGAGGCTGAAGCAGGAGGATCGGCAGGTGGAGGCCAGCCTCAGCGACTTAACAAGCCCCTAAGCAACTCAGCGAGACCCTGTCTCTAAATAAAATCTAAAAAGGGCTGAGGACGGGGCTCAGGGGTCGAGGGCTCCTGAGTTCAATCCCTGGTCCCCTTCCCCCCAAAAATAAAAATAAAAATAAGGACAGTCTTATCAGGAATGTGACAACATCAGAGTGTGGAAACACTGTGCAGCACAAGGTCCTATTCCCGTACCAAAAAAAAAAAAAAGATCGTCATGACTCACGGATGAGTGGAATACACAGGCTGTAATATGCGACACACGAACTACGTAAGTGACGTGCGCGACTTCAAGATCTAGAACGCAACGACACTGTGAAGGCAGGCAACTCTGGGAGTGGGTGTCCTGGGCTTTCACCCGGGCTGCATGAGTGACCACCCGCACTGCCATCTTTCTAGCCTCTGTCCTGTGATCCCTGAGCAGCCTCCTCTGTCAGGAACCTGATTCTCATGACAGCAGGCAGTGGGTGCAGGGGGCTGGGGTAGAGCTAAGTGGTAGAGCCTGCTTAGGTGAGGCCCTGGGCTCAGGCCCCAGCACCTTGAATAGAATTGGGTGGAATGGAAAAGAAAAGGGCAAAGGATTTGAAGAGATATTTCTTCAAAGACTAGCTACAGATAAAGAAAGTGTGGTCCAGATACACAATGGAATATTACGCAGCCTTAAAGAAGAACGAAGTGGTGGCATTTGCTGGAAAATGGATGGACCTGGAGACTATCTTGCTAAGCAAAATAAGCCAATCCCCCCCAAAACAGGGGTGAATGTTTCCTCTGATATGTGGTTGCTGATTCACAATAAGGTGGGAGACTTTAGGAACTTAGGGAAGAAGAGAGGTGTTCTGGGTCAGGTGGAGGGGAGTAAAGGGAAGGGAGGGGATCTGGGGGTAGAAAGGAAAGCAGAATGAATCGGACATCGTCACCTTCTGTGGCTACATGACTACACGACCGGTGTGAGCCTCCATCATGGACACCCAGAGGAATGAGACGTCATGCTGCATTTACCCGCTGTCACGGGTCACTAATTTTTAGAACAGCAATGAGAAGACCACATAGAGATGGCTGTGAGCCCGCGGAAAGACGCTGAGCAGAACTGGTCATGAAGACAATGAAAACTTAACCCCACTGAGATCCCACTTGACACCCACAGGATGGGTCTTCATTATTGGATTGGCATCAGCAACAAGGACCCAGCTTTTGACAACAATCCCAGCGGCTTCGGAGGCTGAGGCAGGAGGATCCCAAGTTGGAGGCCAGCCTCAGCAAAAGCAAGGCCCTGAGCAACTCAGCGAGACCCTGTCTCGCGATAAAATACAGATTAGAGTTGGGATGGGGCTCAGGGGTCGAGGGCCCCTGGGTTCAATCCCTGGGACCCCTCAAAAAAACACCCCCTACTGTGTGATTCCACTTCTAGGAACCCCCCCGAACTGACAGATGCCCTGAAGCGCAGTCAAGAGGTAGTTCCCAGAGCACAGGGGAAAGGTGGGGCCCGAGACATGGCATCACTCTGGTGACATTGCCCTGGTGTCCTGCAGTCAGAGGGGACGGCTGCGCAGCGTCCTGAGTACGCTGAAGACAACAGACGCGTGTGTCTTACGGTGGCAAATTTGAGGTCATGGGAATTGCTTCTTAATAAAAGAAGAAATCCGAACAGTCGGGGCTGGGACTCCAGATTAAGGGCTGTGTGTTGGCCTCTCTGGAGCCCAGTGGGGACAGGAGTCCCTTCCCTTTCTCAGGATGAGGGAGGCCTTGTGAGGAAGGAAGTCCAGGGCTAAGCAAAGACTCCTTTATCTGGGTTTGACTAGTCACCCATTTTTTTTTTTTTTTGGTACCAAGGATTGAACCCAGGGTCACTTGACCCCTGAGCCCTGTCCCCAGCCCTTTCATATTTTATTTAGAGACAGGGTCTCGCTGAGTCGCTTAGGACCTCACCAAGTGGCTGAGGCTGGCCTCCACTTTGCGATCCTCCTGCCTCAGCCTCCTGAGCTGCTGGGATGACAGGCGTGCGCCACTGTGCCCAGGTTGATTCATGCTGCTGACATGCCAGAGAGTCACACCCAACTCCAGGTCAAGCATAGTCTGGTCTGCTAGGAGCAGGGACAAGACAGAAAGTGGGACCACCACATGGGGCTCAACCAGCTACTCACCTTAAAACCACCTCCAACTTCTCCAAGGACATTTTCTACGGGGACCTTGGTGTTTTCAAAATGGACTTCACAAGCTGAAATATGAAATGTAAGACTTTAGCGGACAAATGCAAACCACTGTCTCCCAGACCCCAGGCATGTGGTGCACTCATTTTGTTATGGTCTGGATCAATCAACACAATTGATAAATTATTGATTATAAATTAAAAACTATGGATTAGTAAAATAATAAGTAGAGCCGTAGTGACTCCATCTTTATTTTTAAGAATTATTAAAAATTTGAGGCTGGAGTTGTGGCTCAGTGGCAGAGCGCTTGCCTACATGCAAGGGGCACTGGGTTCGATCCTCAGCACCACATAAATGTCAAATGAAGATATTGTGTCCACCTAAAACTAAGAAATAAACATTTAAAAAAATCTTTGTTTTTCTGTGCTTCATCCATCTGCAAACGTACTTGGACCCAGGATGTGGGGTCCGACTTGCTGTGCTCACTGCTTTTCTGAGCCCTTGAACCCTGGATCCTGGACAACAATTCCAGTGGATCAGGAGGCTGACGCAGGAGGACTGCAAGTTGGAGGCCAGCCTCAGGAACTCAGCAAGGCCCTGAGCTACTCGGTGAGACCCTGTCTCTGAATAAAATACAGAATTGCATGCTATTCACAGACTCCATAGGATGTGGTTTTCTTCCTTAAATACTGGACCACAGACAGCCTGGCGCACTTCTGTGACAGGCCGCTGCGGGTGGCAGAAGTGTCCCTGGCCGGGCAATAAGCTAACTCATTTCAGATTCGGGTGTCCCCTGAGCGGTGTCCCTGTGCAGTTCAGGACATGCAGGGACAGGACGGGGCAGAGCTCCTATCTTGGTGGAGCTCGGGTGTTGGTCAGGGAGATGAAACTAGAAACTGCTGGCCCGCGTGGGCAGGACTCTGGCTCCCTGATGTCACCTGTGCCACCGGCCTTCTCTCGTGGGCCCTGCTCAATAGCAGTAGCACCACCCCCCCCCAACTTTTGTGGACATGGGGTCCCCGCAGAGCTGGCCCCAGGCACCTGCCAGGCTGTCTTTAGAGAGAAGGTGGCGGAGGGGACTGGGCGGTGGCTCAGGGGCAGAGCACTTGCCCAGCGTGTGTGAGGCACTGGGGTCCATTCTCAGCACCGCATAGAAACAAATAAATAAAGGTCCATCGATAACTAATAAAGAGCTTTAAAAAAATTCTTAACTGGTGTTTTATAATTATACTTCACACTGGGACTCCCTGGGCCACAGCTGGACATGCGCGTGACATAATTTGCTTCATCTAGGACCTTCCCTCTTCTCCTCCTCCTCCCTCCCCTGATCCACTTGCTGTACTTGATGGATTTCCCTTCTATTATTATTATTATTATCATTATTTAAGTTACTGCATCATCCATTACATACATAAAAGCAGGACTCAGGCTGGGTGCAGTGGCCCACGCCTGTCATCCCAGCAGCTCGGGAGGCTGAGGCAGGAGGATCGCAAGGTGGAGGCCAGCCTCAGCCACTTAGCGAGGCCCTGTCTCTAAATAGTTTTAAAAAGGGCTGGGGACAGGGCTCTGTGGTCACACTCCCCTGGTGAGCCTCAGTGGCCCTTCATCTCTCTCCAGCTTCCACATGGGAGAACAAAACTGCGCCCTCCGACTTCCTGAGCCCAAAGCCAAGGTCTAGAGGAGCTGAGGCTGAGAGCAGCCCCTTCCTCTACCGCCTGGTTCTGCACCGCCTGTCCCCGGCCCCACAGCGACTGTGCGGAGGGCTCTGGTGGAGCTCAGGCTCCCTGGGCCCCAGGCAGGGAGATGCTGTGCGGGATTCTGCCACCTGGAAGGCAGGGTCCCCACAGAGGTGGGCCCAGGAGTGCCCGTGGGAACATGCGGTCCCCTCCAGGAGGCACACTGAGACCTCCACTAGAGGGGGCAGGAGGACCCTAGGATGGGTGGATGGGTGCAGGACAACAAAGGTCACCTGTCCCCAGTGAACGGCGCTCAGCAGGGACAACAGGCAGGCTTGGGAGGGCAGGAGGGGATGCGAGAGGACACAGGCTCCAGCCACGAACGAGGCGGTGGCCTGTCCTAGGATTTCACCTACGACACTTTTTTTTCCTTTTGGTACCAGAGATTGAACCCAGGAGCACTCGACCCCTGAGCCCTGTCCCCAGCCCCATTTTGTATTTTATTTAGAGACAGGGTCTCGCTGAGCTGCTCAGGGCCTCACTGTTGCTGAGGCTGGCCTCCAACTTGCGATCCTCCTGCCTCAGCCTCCCGAGCCTCTTGGATGACAGGTGTGCGCCATCGCACTGGCTTACCCAGGACACTGGCTGTCGGCCTTTGTAATCTCTGTTCCTCTGATGGCCTTATCCCTCTGGAAGCCACCAAAGCTTAACACACAGAGCGGTGCCCAGCTGGTGACTGCAGAATGAATGAGTGATTTCCAGGAGCTCACCTATCACCAGGGAAGTCTTCAATGGCCTTCTACCAACAATGTTGACTTCCTGCCCAAACTATTTATTTGTGACTGGGAACTGAACCCAGGGAGTACCAAGCTGCACCCAAAGTCCTTTCTATTTTGAGACACAGTCTTGCTAATTGCTGAGAATTCAATGTGGAGGCTGGCCTCAAAGTTGTGATCCTCCTGCCTCAGCCTCTTGACTCACTAGAATTACAGGTGTGTGCTTCCGTACCTGGCTCCATAAGGATTTAAATCTTATTTACCTGGATATTTGGACAGAGCAGAGGGCCAGACACACACTGTCACATACACACACACATAGACACCCACACGACTTACTGTTGGAGCCCCGAATGCCTAATTTATCCTCCGGTTTCCCATTAGTGACGCCACCAAAGTCCCTTTCCACTATGAAAGCTGTCATCTTGTCTTTTACTGAGCCATCGGAATCGACCACCTCAGTCTTGGCAAACACAGTGAAGATGTTGGCCAGTCCCCCGTTGGTGATCCAGACCTGAGGACAGAGAGCAAGGGGTCCTCAGAGACTCCCCTCGGCTCTACCACCACCTGTGAGGCCCCAACCAAGGAACTTTTCATCTTTTTTTGGCACCAGGCATTGAACCCAGCGGTGCTTGACCCCTGAGCCCTGTCCCCTGCCTTTTTTATATTTTATTTAGAGACAGGGTCTCGCTG